TGCATTGCTGGTTAAACACAGGCAAAATGTTTACCTAGAATTATGCATTGCATTGAATTCTGCTTGCTGCTTTCTCTCTCCTTTACTATTTTACAGAAATAATACAAACCAGAGCGGTCACAAACACACGGCCCTCCCTGCCCCACACGCTCTCTTTATGGGTTGCTTCAATGCAGAAGAGAAAAAATAATTGAAAAAAAAAATTATCTCAGGTTAGTCAAGCACTGTAACAAGTTTCAAGTCTGTGGCTGAAAAGCCACCTAGTGAGAAAGCCTAAGCTGAAGCTGCAATATTCTGGACAGTTTTCATCTCTCCCTGTTCCTTTTAGCCGGCAGCACAGGCTGGGGAGGTGAGGAACAGCTTTGGAGTGCTGGAGCTGGACAGGATGTTTGTCAGCAGTGCTGGAGCCAGGGGGTTGTGCTGGTAGTATCGATAGGGTAGTAGGAGGGGTTTTAGGATGAGCTGGTGTTTTGTTTGTGAGTCCGGAGCTTTTCCTGATGCTTTGGGTGAAGGAGGTGGCGAGAGATGCCTGAAATTGCCTCTGTGCCTGCCATCCGGAGGTACGGAGCAGGGACTGGATCTCCGGCGGTTAGCAGAGCTCAGTAAATCGTTCTGGGGAGATGAGGCAATGTTGTTTAACTCCAGAAGACACAATACATGGATCATGTTCAATGTCATCTTCATTTGGGCACAGTACCCAGTACTGCTGTCATCACTACCAAGGTTACACAGCCTCTGTGGGGCAGCTGCAAAGTTTTGGGCTTTTTTAGGAGCAATCAGCAGGGCAAGTTACAGTTTGGGTAGTTCAGTTCTAGAATTGCAGAATGCCAGGTTGGAAGGGACCGTAAGGATCACCTGGTCCAACCTTTCTTGGCAAAGGCGTGTTCTAAAGAAGATGGCCCAGCCCCTGTCCAGACAAATCTTACAAGTGTCCCTTGTTGGGGGCGTCACCACTTCCCTGGGGAGATTATTCCAAAGACTGATTGCTCTTGTGAAAAATTTGCTCTGGTTTTGATTCTCGTGACTCGTGGATACCTGGGTCCTGGGTCAGGTTTCCATTCTGTGAGGCAGGGCTTGTGCCTGGTACAAATAATTCCTGGTATTTCTAAGGAACATCAGGGATCTCTGTATAGTACTCACACATACTGGTAGCAGGCTCTGTAGCCAAAGCTTTTTATAAAGTTGTCAGAACTGTTTGAACTATTAAATTCAGCACATTAAAAAGAGAAAAAAAAAATTTCAGCTGATGGCTGAGAAAAACAGGGAGGTTAAAGGCCTTTACTCCTGGTCTGCTGTGGCACTGTGAGGGAGCTGTGCAGTACGTAGCTTTGTACAAGGAGAAATCCCCAAACAAACGGGTGATTTAGCAGGAGCCCTTCAGTGAGGTAACCTCACCAAAAAGAAGTTTCAGGCTGGAGAGTTGAAGGGCATCAGACAGTTTTTATTCTGGAATGGCAGAGCTCTGCCTCGGCAGGACAGTGCCTGGGGACGGCTCCGTCCTGCTCAGTTTTGGAGTGATTCATCTTTTTCCCCCTTGAATTTCAGCCTTGTCTGTCTCCCTCGATCTGCTTACCCAGTGTGAATTCTTGATTAGCCAGGCAGCTACCACTAATGTGGCAGAAGGGTAGGGAAAAGATGCCAAAAGGTGGACGTTTGCTTGTCTTTTCTGCAGTAGAGCCCTGGTGAAAAGTGCCTTCAGTGAGTAAAACGCCAGGCTTGTTGCATCCAGGAAAAATGCCTGGCGGGGAGAGCCAGGCTGCACCTGACGTGCACTAATTTGAACCTTTACTGTTGCGTGCAAAGTTGGGTGTTGAAACACCTTTTATTTAAAAAAAAAAGACAAAATATTTCCTAGGGGTTGGTGCTGCAAAGAATTAGGTTTATGAAGTTATTGCTACTTGTTTTCCAGCTGAGCGGACAGAGGAGATTTGGGGCTGTTGGTTCATTCATAGCGTGGTCAGTGCCCTCTTGCTGAGTGAAGCACAGACCTTTGTGCGGCTGGGAACGTGTACAGGCATTTTTCACAAATGTTTTTCTCCTTACAGCTTCCTCTCTGCAGCTTTTACTTAGCAAAGTGTCAGTGCAGAGTGGATATTGTAAGAAATCAGCTGCCAGCAGGCAAATACAGTTCTTTCTTCTGCTTAAATCAAAAAGATGCTTTTGTAGAGTATGTTTAAACTTTTTTATCAAAAGGCATTAAGTTTGAATTTCATACCAAGAACGCCAAAGCCTCTAACTCTTATCCCAGAACAGGTTTAAAAGCGAGATAATCTGCAAAGGATGGTTAGCATAAATTATATTCTTCAAAGTTAAATGCTATATAAGAGGCAAAAATTAATCCTTGAAGCTAATTTTCATTCTGAGTATTAAGAAGGCTTCTTCTGAACAGATTTTGTTCATGCTTTTTATAGGTTATCAACTAGTACGTATGTTTTTAAGAAAAATGTGGTGTCTGTAATAAACTGTATTTTGTAATCTACTAGCTTCCACTTTGTTTCTAAGTCCATTTTAATCCTGGATTTAACTGATGAGAAGCCTTGCATGCTTGGTTTCTGCCTTCTTGTTATTTATTTAACTGTCGGTCTGACTCAGAAGAATTTTCATCTTTACCAGATTGCACAAGGACAGGAAATGTCAAAGTTTTGAAACTGGTAACTTAAGTAAATTCAGGTATTTCATAATCCTTTAGCCTAGGAACGTACGTGTCTACCACCACGAAGAGAGGACTCAGCCTTTCAAACATGTAACTGCTTTCAGCCCTGGGAAGCTGCAGCAGTAGGAACTTCTCAAATCTTACGATGGTTAAAGCCTTTCTACAGCACTAGCTCTGCACAAAAAAATTCTCCAGGCTTTTTTTTAATGTATGAATTACATGGTTCTCTCCCAGATTTACGTAATAAACTGGCAAAAAGTAATAAGGATTATTATCCTTAGCTGTCAAATGACTTAAAGTGGTAACTCCAGTAGAAAGCACGAATTCTTAAGTGCTCTTTATAAAATTGAGCATTCCTTACATCATTGCATCTCTCTTGCCTCAGATTTGTGGGAATTTTGTTTTCTTCTGTTGCATGAGACAAAATCCATTTCCTGCTAAAATCTGCAAACGTACCCTAACCCCTTCCTGGCTGTGCAAGCACCTTGGGTGTGGGCTCTGCCCTTGGTCCCTGCCTGCTCTGTTTCTGTGGCCCCTGTGCGGCAGCTCTTTGTGCTTACGTGGGACAGCAGGTTGCTGCGAGAGCCGGTGGTGGCCGGCAGCGACATGGGCCCCGGGGACTTCGACACTCGAGGTCTCTTGTGTTGGAATTGCAGAGGACTGAGCCTGACGATCGCTACATACGCACGCAGCAGCTGCAAGAGCATTTCTTCTCTTCAGGGTGCTTTTCGCAGGCGTTTTGCTCTGAACCATCCAGCCCTGGCGTAAGAAGGGTGATGGTTGATCTGGTCCAGCCCTTTCCCCTCGCTGAGCTACAGAAGACTCGGTTAGGACCCAGCTGTGCTGTGACTGCACTGGTTTTCCTGAAGTGTAAGTGATTTATTAGACACCTCTGAGACAGGAGGTGAATATTATCTTCATCTTACAGATGGTGGAATTAAGACACGTGGTTTCACAACTGTAGCTAAAATTCGAGGTTACACATTACTTTGTGTTCAATTCAGCTCAACTACTGCTTTTTTTTTCCCCACATAGAAATCACCCAGAACAGCACTGCACCTAAAAACTTGGGAAAAATCAGCTGATTTATTTGTTACATTTACACATTTGTCTTCAAGTTAAAATTTGAACTTCTTGGAATGTTTCTGTGTAATCAGCTCTAGTTTTAGCCCTTCATACCTTTTTTCTCTTTAACATGAATTTTAATAAAAGTAATTATTTTCCCTTAGCCCAGTAACTTCTCCATGTTAAAAGTTCAACTGTACAAAGTGCCTGGAAAAGAATTCAGCTGACTAATTGGTCACTTCATTTTTCCTTTAAAATTTTCTTAATCAAGTCTTGTAATAAATAAAGACTAATTACCAACATGACAACACTGTTTTTTTCAAATTGTTCATTTGCCAGTTTAAACAAGATAAAATAAATGAATACTTAATGTGGACACTGTTTTACCAAAAAAATAAAAAGGAAGAAAAGAGAATACCCCCAAAACAAACAGACAATAAGAGGACGCAAAGGAACACACATGGAATGATGAAAAGGAACAACGATATTGCACAACTTCAGGTCTCTCTCCCCAGCTTTTGATCCATGGAAGTAGGTATATATGAATTCAGCCAAAAACTGTGTCCAGATAAATGTGTAGCAATTTGAGGGAAGCTAGAACTGTTGACTGTTTTCAATTCCTTCTGACTGCTACGTGGAGTTCTTCTCTAAGAGAGCAGGTTGCTGTCAGCTGCAGGAATAATAAATAAATCAACACGTTGATTCTACATTTTGCTGACCAGCCCTTCACAAATTATCCATAATATGCACAATTCTTCTATATTGTAAATACGCTAAGTCTTCAAAGTACTTGGGTCTTTAAACACAACTTGGTTTATCAAGTACTCAAACTATACATGAAAACTAATCAAGATTCGTTGTGGTTAACTTGGGATTGCATCTCATTTTGCAAGACCAGGACTACTCAATGTATCCGCATTGCGCTGAATGTATAAAAGTCATAGTAGGGTACGCTAAGGGAAAAAAAACAAAACCAAAACCAAGCAACCCCTACCCCCCAAAAAAGAAAAAAACAAAACCAACATGCTAAGTAGATAAAAAGTCTTTACAAGCTACAATCTTTGCTAGATCACCTCTTAACAAGCACAGACTTTGCTAAAGAAGTCAACTAATTGTGTCATTCTGGCTATAGCAGTACTGGTTTCCCCCTCGAACTGTGTTTATATAAACTTTGCGTTTATGTGCAGAACATAAGATACATTTTCTCCTATCTGATTTCATACCTGTTCGGTGGACTGAGGTGTCAGCCAGAAGGGCTTAACAGATACATTTAATACAGGAGACTGAGATACAGTATGTTTATTCTTAACTTCTGATAACCTAAGAACTACAAGAACGAGAGATGCAGTATCCATTTACTATGATCCAAGACAACCATTTTTAGGGAGAAAAAAAAAAAAAAAGTACAATAATCCTAATGCTACGTTAGTTCCAAATACCTAATTATTTTCCCCCTTAGTCTTGGTAGCTTAACTATTTACTGTCCATGTGGCCCACTTTTAGTCTGATCAAGTTAAAGGTGACTGTTGTTTCATCAAAACCGAAGCAAGTTGTAAAAAAACCCACAAAACCATAATTTCACTGTAGGACTTGTTTCATATCTTCATATTCCGCATCACTTGTAGAAAAGGGATAATGCATCTCAGTTTGCTTACAAGCTAGGAGATCACTTTGAAGTCTGCATATTCCTAACTGCAAACAAAATATAGCACTTTTAACAGGTTATAAATAAACTGGTTTTTCAAGCATAGAGCCAGCCCAACAATAACAATACACTATTAAAAAGACCTAAGGCAATGAATTCCATCTCCAATGGAAAAAAAAAAAAAAGAGAACTGTGCAAACAAGCTTAAAACTATTTCTTTGTGCCAGTGTTATAAAATGTAGATTTCAATAAAGCCTTGACCCAAATGCCAGGACTTGTGAAAAGAATCAGAACAAAACTGGTTACTTTATTTAGGAAAAAAATACTCTTATCTTGCTGCTAATAAAACTGGATACACGCAGTTTAAACATTTACAGTTGCTGTAACACTTTACACAATTCCTATATATGGGTGTAAGAACAAACATTAAAAGACAATGGTGGGTCAAGGCTTTACATTAAAAATAACAACCTACTTTTCTATAGTCTCTAAAATACTATGGTTTTTTTCCCAATAGTTGCAGCCATTCAGGAATATTATTTTTTTAATTTCTTTATTAGGAAATGTATATTTTGTGCACGATCTTAATGCCTAATTCCTGGCTCTTTGGGCTGAATGACAAAAGGATCAAACCCATGAAAGTGGATGGTGGTCTCCGCGAAGGTTCAGTGGAGAAACCCTGGCTCAGTTAGTCTCATACGACGAAAGCAGTGCTGCATCCACTGGCTCCATGCAGGAGGGACAGGTAAAGGATCGCATCAACCAGTCATCTATACAGTCCAGGTGGTAAATGTGCATGCACGGCAGAAATCGGATAGGGTCCCCATAAACAAAGTCCATCATACAAATGACACATCTGGGGAGGGGGAAAAAAAGAAGAACCACAAAAATATTAAGCTGCTGTTACCACACTGGAAAAGAAAAGCAGCGCAATATCTACTCCTGGGTGTGTTTCAGTCAAACTTGTAGATACTGTGAGGAGTTCCTGGCTCTCTCAGTGCTAGTTCCACCAAACACTGGTGGGGTTTTTTTTGGTTTTTTTCCTCTGTAGTGTGTGTGCCCCATGCCAACGTTAGTGAGGGCAGAAAGCCACCTGTGGGCACAGCTGGGCAGCTGAGCCGGAGCACATGAAATTAGAAATGGGAAAAGGAAACCATGAAGGTGAGGAAGCAGCATGGAATTACTTCCTCATGAAGAGAGAGGATAGAGGTTAAAAACGCCCCTCTGAGGGCATGAATTACATGGGTCAGGGTAGTGAGTTTCAACTGTAACATGAAAACAAGCGAGGAGAAAGGAAAGAGCCACTGCAGGGTCATTTTTTCAGAAAACTACCTTAAATTATCATCCCTGAAAATAAGGCAAAACCAAGATCGAGTTTACTGGGGCAACAGCATAAACATATACACTGATTATATACATATAAACAATATAGTGCAACAGCCACCTGCGTTCAGTGAGGCTTCTGGAACTTACTCTCTGATCTTCTTCTCGGAGCCGTCTCGCCCAGGATCATAGACTCCTTTAGGGAGGTGCTGAATAAGGCCTATCCTCTGCGCTATTCTGATCTGCTCCTCTTCTGTCAGCTGCGTCGCTAGCCGAGTCTGGCTAGGAGTCGGGTGATAAACAGGAACAGGGACCTGCTCCTAAAATTAAAATATTTCAGTTAAAAAAAAACAAACCTAGGATTTCGCAGTGCAGTACAGGCAACAGATTTAACTCTTCTGCTCGTAGTCCTACAAATCTTTGTGCCTTCTCCTGCTCCTGCTATGCAATTTGAGGGCTGTAATTATATCAAGAGTGGGATAAAGAATTGAGGCCAGTATCTCGAGCAAGGAGTTGTCCTCGGCAAAGGCTTTTTATCCCCAGGCATTGCTCATACATGAAATACTGCACAGCAGCCTCCACGTGACAGAGGGCAAAGAAACCTCACACGCACCTGCTGA